GCAGCGGCCAACACGAGTCGCTAAATGCAGCTCCAAAGTAAATTTAGTCAGTTTGAACCCTATCATCGTGGGAACTGGGAATGACAAAATCGTGGCTGTATTCGTCTTTTTAGGCTCGGAACGCTTTGTTTGCTCCCCGTCTTCGATTCGCGACCAGATTAGAAGGATGACTTGATCATTTCTCTACCTGGTACCCGTTCCGTTTCGATTACGCATGGTTATCTATCTAGAACTTTGGATTAGGGTCGTAGAACCCAAGACTGGTAAGACGGAACGATTGTCGGAGCGTTTTTGTTAATAATTCCCGGTCTGTGAAGTTCATCGTTGACCGGAATCCGCAAGAGGATCCGAAGAGAAAAACATGACGACTTGGCGGTACTGCGAGGCTTGCGGCCATTGATGCCGCTTCAAGATCTGGTGGTATTCGAAAGGTAACATATCCGATCGGCGGCTCGAAAGAGATGTTGAATTTCGTTTCTTCTCGCTGAACTTATCTCTTTAATCTCTTTTTGTTCCGAACAAGGATGGGATTTGGTCCTCTGGTCAAAAAGAGCGCTACGCTCTTCACTTTTGCCGGTTCTTGTCTCTTTTTTCTCGGCGGAAAATCGGAGACCTGTGTCTGCGTCACTGCGCGAGCGCTCGACGACTGATACGCCCAAATTCCCATAATGTATTCCTCCATGGAAAGCGGGTGGGAACACAAAGGATTTTCGATGAACGAGCTCTCCAGGAAAAAGAAACGCTCGAGCGTCTCGAGGCATCAGCAATAATTATTTCCCTGCGTGCTCCCCGGAAGTGGGAACATTTCCCCCATTCGAGGGCAGCGGTGCCCGCGCAGTACTCCTCGAAGTTGAGCTGATTCATCCGAGAGAGTCGCTTCAGATTTGGACGGCCCATTTCTGCAATATCTCAGGTTCGGGCGGATCTTCGCCTCTGGGAGAATGAGCGAAATCAGGCGTGCAAAGTTAGAGACTAATTCGCTCCCATGCTAGCTGTCAAGACGTTACCAAACAGGAGTCATTGATTTTCTTCAGCGGGCGTCCAAAACGTGACAAACTTTCAAAGGAGCTTCGTTGCGTGAGATCACTCTGAAAATTCAATCAAAAACGAAAGCGGTCCAGCGGCGGCGTGATCCGTTCAACAGGTAGCATTCTTGTAATTCGCTGTTTGACTTCGTTTCACGTGTGCTGCTACTGCCACTGGTGCTTGGTTCGAACTGCTCGATCTTCGGATTAGACGACAACAGAGTTGTTTGCTCCTTGGCGGGTAAACTGACGAGCCGATCCGTAGACACCGACTGACTGGGGCACCCTTCAACCCTCCTATCCAGTCGTTTGTCTGTCCGTCTCTCCGTCTGTCTGTTTCTCCGTGCGTCCGTCCCTCCGTGGACGCCGGTTCATCCGTCTGGCTCTTAACGTGGTGGCTCCGAGCCGTAGCAAAGCCATCGGCGGCGAAGAACTTCCCAGTCGGTCGCGGCCAGCGAGTTAGCGGTGAGGCGCTAACAAGGTTCGGGGTGGTGGTGAAATGAAAAGAGCCACGACCACCACAACTGGCACCAGCTATAACACCGTCGAGCCGGGCGAGCCACCGAAGGACCCTAGGAGCTCGTCAAGCAACACCGAAAGCACCGTATGACGCCAATGATGACGCTCGAAGGAGGCCACGAACTTTTTCTCCCTCTGTTTACCGACCGTGTGAGAGAATTTATTTTTTTTCGCTTCGCCCCGCCGATGAGTCTAATTAATCGTTCACCGGAGACATTGACACAAGCTGATTCCGACCTCGGCCGAAAACTCGACGGAATATCCACCGTTCGATGGGGGCAACTATACACTCGGATTCCAAACACCGCTATCGCTCCCGCGATAGAATTTCCAGTCGAAGACCGCTTTTCGAGCCGTTGCTAGGACAAATGTTGTTGTTTTCCGGAACTGACGCGATCGCGGAATTCGCGGCCGCAACTCGTGTTGCTAAATCTAGCGTCAACAACAGCGGTCAATGCGATAGTAGAAGGTGTATTTTGAGCGGCGTATAATAGAATAGTTTTCTGCTCATTGGGAATATTCACTCCCAGGGTTTAGGCGGTGGCGTCACCGGTTCAACTACGTTCGGCTTCTAGGGGGCGAAGGGCATCCGTAGACGGATGGATGCTTCGAATGTGACGGATGTATGCTGAGGAACGGCTACAGACGTTCTAACCACGCAACGGCATACGTCTTACGTCAAACGCCTGAAGATAATACTCGTATTCGAGCCACAGTGGGGCTTCTGTTCGTCTGACTGATGAACCGTGTGACAATTGTGATCAATTCATTCCGCGCCGGGCTGGCCGGAGAGAGCCAGACGTTGACTTTCTATTTTTCCGTTTGCGTTTGTTGCGTCTACCGCGCTTTGTTCACTTCGAAGGCGAATAATGGTTTCAATACTCTTCTCTTTCTTCATTTCGATCAACGCCTTCTTCCATCGGGCATTGTGGTCGCGCTACGTCCTTCAATGCTAGGAAGAATAATTATAGCAATTTTTCGATCAAAAGTTGACTCGACTACAAATGTAGCTTGACTTTTGGGATATGTCTCCTACACTATGATATATCCGCAAACTGGAAAAGACCAAGGTGGCTCGGTCGCGGACGGACAGGGAACTTCCCGAGTTGAACCAGTTCCGACAAGGGCGATTCGCAGGAGCAGCATGAGAACGGGAGTAAGAAGCTTTCCCGCCGCAGACGACGTGACGGCGACGGTGCGGCGGCGTCAGGGGTAGCAGAAAGTTTTTCGGGAGCTCTTCCGAACAATTTCACCGGGAAACTGAGAAGGCTCGATGAGGCGTTGCGGTGAAGGCTTCTCCGGCTTCCGGCGAATCACGCGTCGATTCTCCTCCGAAAGATCGGAGGTTTTGCGGATTTGATCGAGCTCCGGATCCGGCCTCACGGGCGTAAATGCGTATCATCCCGTTGCGACGAAAATCCGAACACTTTCTGAATGAGCTCATATCACAGCTACCTATTTTGTCGTGCTAGATCCATTTTTTTTCTCGGAAGCTCGACGCGATGATCGATCCAATCATTTCATGCATTTTGGATCATTTCACGAAACGAGACGTATACGAATTCCCCATGTCAGTGGACGCACCAGTGAGTACGAACGACTCGGGATTCACGCAGTAGAAACACGGGGTCGAAGGGACCAACTTTTGTTGGACTCCTTTCAAATGTAGTTCTTCGAAGACGTCTCGCCTGTTCGCCTCACCGTCGGAAAATTGCCGGCAGCACAAGCATCCTCGTGGAGATGGGAATCGTTCCCTTTTCCCAAAGCGAATCTTCGCGCGTAAAATTGAGCATGGGCTTCCCGCTTATTTCTCAACAACGCTTCCCAGGGAGGCTTCTGTGGGATCGCACGAGTCGAAAATCATTCACTTTCTTTCTCGCGCCTCACAGCAAGAATTGTTGTTTGGTGATCAATTGGGGCGTGTTGAATAATGACGAATGAAGCGGAAGGGAATCTAAACTGAATCCACTGATTGGACGGTGTAGCGTCGACCGTCCGTCAGCTTTGAATTTTCGTTTCCTCACACCGCCGGGGCCGTCGGAACAGCTTCTGCTTCAGCTTTTCTGGACCGGACGGTGTTCGCACAAAGAAGAACAGGAAGGATGATGCCCAGTCTGAACACCGGTCTGACCCACATTTTCGTAAGAAGCAAAAACGGCGAGGAGCAGCGGCAGTCCTAGCTGCAGCGGGAAACGACGACAACGAGAACGACTTCATGTGATTACTCCTCACTCATGCAACTCTGGCTGCGAGGCAACGATTAATCGGAAGAATGGAATACGGGAGGAGGGTTTCGTTCTGTTTATACAGAGCTCGGTCCCAGGAAAGACATTGACTCCGTCCGTGGCATAGGTTCGGAAAGTTTTCCGTGAAGTCAGAATCGATTCCCCAGAAACCCTTCGCATATCGAAGATTCGGAGTCGCTAGTGGATTTCTCCGCCGATCGAAGTTCCGCTCGTCGATCTCATATTCTCCCTGATCGCGAGAGCCCGCCGGTATGTCGAAGTATTGCCGTGATTTTCTTCTCCTCAGTACCGCATTGGTCTGCATCGAGTTATTGAACCCTTCTCCCCGGCAGATGCTGAATCCTGGCTCTGGTATATCGTCGCGTTCTTCGCAGAAACCCCGCCGACGTATCCAGAGCGATAATGATAAAGAATAATAGATGATATTCCCGGAGAACATGGTCGCAAATGAAAATTCACATTATTCGACTTCAAGCACCGGAGCGGTGCATGCGTGGGCTTTCTCGCAGATTTTCCTTGCAGCTCCTTGTGAGAGAACAAGTGACCGCTGGCGGGGTTATCTCGACTCCACGGACACTGAAAGCGAACAAAACGGAGAGGATCCACTGATTAGCGGTTTTGTAAGAGCTTGAGCCTTCGCTCATGTAAACGCTCGAAACGGTGAGACTATGACGCTGTGGTACGGTCGACAAATAATGAATCGTCCCGGATGGACTTTTTTCACTGTCCCTTGCGATGGACGCTTTCATATTCGGTTCGGAAACTGGCCCGGGGTCTACAGTCCCGAGCAAGGGGTTCGCCGGACGAGGACGCAATCCATGCATCATCCTGAGCTTTTGATTAGGCTCGCTTTTAATTTACGATGAGTTACATTCGTTTACGGGTTCCCTCATCTGAATGTTCCAGCTGAAGAGGACGTTCCTGGCTTCCCTCCACAGCGTATAGTTCGATGGGAGTCTGACCAAAGTTTTCGCGGAAAGATTGGCCGGACACCGAACAGCAGAATGTATTTCGGAATGAGTCGCTGTCACGCCCACATTCCGGCTCCGACTAAATAGAAATGAGCGGCGACTAAAGTGCGTGTCATTTTTCTCTCCAGAAGAACTCGAGGAGTTGCTGCGATGCGATAACTACAGCCAAACTAACGGTGGTGGTGCGGAACTTCGTCCACCAATAAGACAGAGAAACCGCCTCTCGTCAAGCCGTCGGAATGCCTGGCAGTGGTTTCCGCTATTCGGCCACCTACGAGAGCCCCTACCTCGAAGAATCAGCGGCAACCGCAGCGGAAAAGCCCGTGGTCACGATTCGCGGCTACGACGACAGAGACAACACTGCAGCGCGACCGGTAAGTTGCGGAAACAACAAAGCCACAGTAACGGCACGCGGCAGCCGCACATTTCTTTCCAGTTTCGACGCACCCTCCCCAACCCGTCACTGTCTGCTGTCACACGTACTTTCTCTTTCTTCTCTGAATGAAATTCCCCCTGAATACGCTTCCTGACTATGAATGAGCTTTTCCATCGAGGGAAAAACGTGATCTCGAAACTAACCCGTCACGGACATCATTTCCAAAATCCATGAAGTTCATCCGAGGGGAAGAGTCGAACGTCTCTTCGAGACCGTTCGTGATCGCCCCTGACTCAGTTTGAGACTGACTAATTTTCCCTCATTATGCTAGGAATCTATTCGGTGGCCGACTATCCGATTTTCTTGCATGATACTCTTCCTGAATGTGTCTCGTTACTGTTTTTCAGATATGCCTGACAGCAGATTACAGCTCGCCGGGAGGACCTCCTTGTCTAATAGATGACGATGGCGGAGAAGAAGGCGGCGGCGACTTCGTCGACGGGGGTGGTGAAGAATCTCCACCCGCGCCGCTCATAAAAACTTTGGCCACGCCAGCTTCGAAACCTTTGCCCATTGATCCGCTACAATTCGTTAAGACACCTGTACCGTCGCTATGTAAACAGGTACTGCGCACGGTCACATTACAGCAAACAGATACATCGGCAGTCCACCGCTTAAAAGCGATTAGTTCAAGCGGGCTCTCAACGATGATAGGCACGGTAGCTGCATCGTGATCGATGCGTGACGGGAGCGTTTTTTCTCTATCCGATTCCAGGTCGTGTACTTCAAAAACCTCTCTCGGCGAGTCTTCTCGATTGTCCCTTTTTTTGCTTGAGGAACTAGTCCGGCAAGTCGTCCTGGAAAGATCTCCGGCGGATGATCCGCAAACTCTCATCCGCAAAACTGTCTTCGTCGCTCCACGATGAACGAACGACGCCTTTTACTGGCTCGGTTTTCGCCTCATTTTGTGGGAGAAGTCTTTCTGTTTTCTAACATCGACGAAGGAGAAGCTTTCTTTTTTCGGGGATGATTCCTGAAATATGTCAACGACGCGAATTCCTCGTCTGCGTGTCTCACTTAATTGAAAGTGGACGAGTTCGCCTCGATATAGTCCACTGCTCGGGTTCAAAGTTCACGAAGCCCGAACGCGCTGAAATGTGTTAGGGTTATTCAAAGTTTAAGTTTCCCGCTAGCTATTGACAAAGTTCCAGCGTGCGGCGGGTCGAGCGATTCTGCCGGCACCTCGTTCCGCAGAAAATCATCCCAAGGGATCCCCCATCCATATTTGTCTTCTTCCTTTCCGATGACAGCCGAGCGGCTAAGGGCCGAGCTTGCCGTAGCTTACCGTCTTCATCACAGTGGAGAAATTCCTTAGAGGGCTCGTAGTCATGATCTTCAAAGGTTCTGAACCCTTGGCACTTAGCCAGTTGACACCGAACGCTAATTAACAAAGTTTTCGCCGGCTCGACTCTCGGACATTCGAGCCAGAAACCTTGGCCCATTTTGCATCTGAGCCGCACACCTTGTGCAAACGCGTTTGTTCGAACACTGCGACGCGCCTGCAGCCGGAATAGACGCACAGTGATGCGAAACTCGATCCTTCCCTCGTACCTTCATTTTCGATTTCCTTCTTGTACCCAACGAGGAATGGCACAGCTTCTCTATCTATACGGAACTTCTCTGAGTCGAAACTGGGTTTCTTCGATGTTCTGAATGGCTTATGAGCTCATCATGAATTGAAGATTGTCAATCGGGGGCCGCGATGCTGGATGGGTCTCGTGGCGAACGAAATTCTCCCGCTTCATGGGAAACGAAAACTAGTTCCCGATTCAGGGAAAATCCGACCGGAATCTCTGATCGTTTATTCATCGCATCGTTCACGCATATCATCAGTTATGATAATTGCCGATACCATCCTCATTTATATTTTTCGAAAGCACGAAACGAAGATATGAAACTCATTCGCAATTAATGATTCACCTGAACCCCGAATATTCAACCGCCAAACGTTCACGATGTTCTTCTCCTTTGCAGGCGGTTGAGCAGATACAACTGGCGACGGAAAACAAAATTACCAAGGAAAAAGTCAAGGAAGAGGAGGAAGAATGGCAAGCGGTAAGCAATCAAGCGTCATCCATCCATTCCATTCACCCGCCTAACAAGCTTCGATCAATCACTTGATCTACCCATCAAACCGCCCATGTTCGGAAGGAACATGATTATCTACCTCGATTGTCAATAGGGTCGCGGACTGCGAGGCTGGTATAATCCGCGGCTCTTCAGACCGGATGATGACGCTGATTCCTCGCTCATTATGAGTCCGTTATCCGGAACTGCGCTGTCAGATCTCTGGCGGGGATCTGTTCGGCGCTTTCTCGTCATGCAGATTTTCATAACGCCGGGGACAAAGCTCTGCCTCTTATCTATTAACTTCGCTCGCGTGGTCTCTTTTCTGGAATGGACTTGGTGAATCGTCTGAACCTCAAGTTGGCGACCAGTAAATCCAGAAAGTCCTGGCATCTCGAGAAACGGAACGAAAACAACAACGAACAGATTCAAGTTACTAAGTTCACAACTCCCCCTGAAATTCTGAACACGTTCACAAAGGATGTCGCTAGAGCGGTTAACTTGACTTCCGCGGACATATACGGGCCAAGCTGTCTCGAGGCTAACAGCAGGGTTTAGCTGACCTCAATTTCCGTCATTGTATCAAGCTGAATGAGTCGAAGAACAAAGCGCTAGTGCCGGTTCGTCGAGACTGGTGATTCTGGAATGACACGCACACGGAGTCTTCTCGGGGTTCACATGGATGAGAGATGCAGTATACAAATGAAGTTTTCACCTCGATATCGTGACGACCATCATTCGAAAACATCATGACCTTGTGCGCGACCAGAAGAGATCAAAAATCAGCGAATCGATTGCTGCTCCGCATTCTACATGAGCTCGTGCGTGAATTCCGGCCGAGTTTCCGGTGGCCTCTGCCTCCTGTCGTTCTGACCATTGTGATCGACTACACATGTGAAAAACAAGCCGGATTGCGTCCAGTGAGGTCCGCAGGACCTCGTCTGGTGACATTCGGAGCTGACGCTTTCCCAATGCGGATCTCCTCTCCTTCGGATAAGGAGATCGACAATCCCGGAATCGAGGTGCCAAAACCTCTCCCCCTTGTTAAAATTTTCACAATTATGCTGAAGATTCGGCTCTCCGGTTCCGACGGTGAAACTTCTCGTGAAAATATTCATCAGCGTATAATATGGAAGAAATCTTTTCGATATGAGTATCCTAAAGAGGGGTGGCTGTCACAGTAGCCAAATGTTATCGTGACTGCCAGAAACGTCTCCTAGCCTCCGCATAACAAGGGCGCGGTCGGTCCACGATTCTCGCGGCGGGACTAGACGACAGCATACCTTGTCCGCTCGGGTCCTATGCTCGACTTCTGTCCAGATTCCGAAACGAAGAAAATCGTGCGCGGGGGATTCCGTAAAATTACCGATCTCGAGGTATTCTGGGCCAAACGCTGACGCCATTATCTGGGCTGGATAATCGCGTCCCCTGAGTCTTAGGCGCCGGATACCAGAAGTTCCCGGCTGATTTCATCAGACGTTACCTCCAAGGTTTCCCCTCAAGCCAGCTCGAGCGAATATCGAGACTCGTCAAGAGTTATGATTGCGGTAATTCATCGGATTCAGAGGCACACCTCGCGGATGTCCATGAGCCCCGGAGGGGTCTACACCGAATGGATGGGCCCGTCTATGGGAGCATAGACGTGTAGAATGATTCGGGGGCGGTCGCATATGGCTCCTCGGAGAGGAATTTGTTTTCTCCCTATTGAATCAACTCGCTCCCTCAATTGTCTCGCATTACACTTGTAACATCATCTGACCCTAACTATAGAGCTCGGAAGTTCAGGCACTCAAGAATCTCAGAAATGGCAGGCGGGAAGGCACTGAAAACCCTCGAAAAAGGCACCGAAACTAGGCAAAATAGGCGTTATAGGCAAGGAAACAAACGCATCGAAGCGTCCATCAGTGTCGTATTAAGAGAATTTCATGTGGTATCATAGATTCCCATCGGTGAGTCATCGACGCCGATCTGATACGAGCATTTTACAAGAACGAATTTTTTTTTGCGCGCTCTGGCGGAGCATCGGAACTTGTCGAGAGCAAGATGTGCTCCTGGAAACTAGCCGACCTCATCTTCGCCGACCTCATCTCACCATCGTTCTCAATAAGAAAGCCTAAGTTTCCCCCGAAATCCTCGGAATCCGGCCCCTCAGAAGCTCGGAAAGGCACTCTAGACACGAAAAAAAATGAAACAGGCATTTTACATCAAAAAATGCCGAAAAAAGCAGATATAGGCAAATAAGGCATAATGCCTGAACTTCCGAGCTCTACTAATTATGTATGCGTCAATTGCCGACCATTCGAAACGATTCCAGCCCTATGGTCGTGACCAATGGAGTGCCCGACAATCAGAGGTTTGATTGGTGCCCGACAAGCGGAGAATTCCCGTCTAGTTAGAGCCCTGTCCGGGTGCCCGAGAGTACCAGCATGTCTTTCAATCAGAGGAATCCCGGCATTCCTTCGTCACAGTCGATTGATAACTGTATGAAGCATGGGTAGGTCCACCATATCGGAGTCGCTCGTGATCCCATCGGTCACCTTCGTCCGCTGATTCAGAGTCGGTCTCAGGTCGAGCGACCGCATTCTACTCCTGAACTCCAAAGGGAAGTTCATTCGTGGGCTACCGCGGAGATCCTCCAGGTCAGGACATTCTCTGAAAAAAAACGATCCCATTCTCGACTGATTGAGCCCCTTCATCAAGAATTGTTGGAATTGGTCTTCCTGGACTCCAGACGGACGTTGCATCGTCGCATGAGGATGTCATTTCTTCTTTGCGAGCCTCGATCTGAGGGAATGGGTTCCGACTTTACCACGAGTGACCCGCCTGTCATTAGAGGTTTGCACAACGAAGAAAATAGCCGATAGGAATGATATTCCATGTATTTTCTGGTCTGCTCCCGATTCGTGACAACGATCATTTGACTCTCATTTGAGATCCGGGGAGCGACAATTTGTCATCCGGAATCATCATATTCGTCCCTAAACAAAAGTTCGAGAATCGACATCGACATATCGCGTATCTGCGATCTTCAGAAGGGAGCCGCCGGGTCCCAGATAAAGTTTCGGCAAGGCGCTCCGTAGTTGTGTGACAGACCGATTGTTTTTCTCTGTCGGTACAGAATGTCCGGAGGTCGAGCATCGAGGGATCTTTTTGGGTTCCGCTCAGACCGTTAGAGCGTGACTCCCTTCGTGTGATGTTGATCGTGCCGGTAGCGGTGCTCGTGTGGTGTACCGCGTGGAGAGATGGAAACGGAACAGAGGCCTCTATGCATTCTTTCGGATCCAGCGCGCACTTAGTTCAGAGGGCAGTCAGTCAACGAGATCCGCTAGCGGTGAAGCAGACTCTGTCCACACATCTGACGTAAGCTAAGGCCAGCTGGTAGCAGCACCAACAGCAGAAAACTACGGCAGAGCCTAGAGGGCTGAACGAGCCGAGCGAATCGAGGAGCAGCATATCCCGGGAGCACAGCCCGAATATCCACCCACCCACCAGTTCAGCCGCTCGTTGGTTTAAATCGTTTGAAAAGACGCCGAAGTTCGCGGCGCGGAGCTTCCTGTGTTAGGATGGTGAGCTTCCTGTGGACACCGTTTTGTCCGCTGTTGAGGCTGCCGATCGCTAACCGTGCTCGTCTGATGACGCCCGGTAGCGCTTAATTACGAACGAGCACAACTTGACAGTGACACAGAAGTACCGGACGGACGGAGCAACCGACAAACGGGCAGACGGTCGTTCAGTCGGTCGTTCGCTCGAATACATACGGTCGGCTCAGAATTCTCGCTCCGCGCGGCAGGGTATTTCTCCTCTTTCCCAGTTTGACCAGCCAGCTGACTGGCTCGCGGCCGGCCGGCTCTACCACCACACCTCCTTCTCCGGAGCCAAATAGTGGCGGGTTTTCGAACGGCGACCGAATCCACCGCCGTACACACCAGAGCGGGTGTACGGAGCGTCCAACGAGCGACGGCCTGACTGACTGATAGAACGTCGACCGGCAGCAGGAATCGTGTGCTTGCTCCCAGAGTGATTGCTGTTTGCAGCTGTACCGTTGAAATGCCTCATCTATGGAATGGCTTTCCATGGTGAACGGAGCTTTGGCAAGGTTGTTATTGTTTGAGAACTGTGTTTGTCGTTGCTATTCGCCCACAGTGGACATGAGAAGTGAAACAACCGTCGTGTGAGTGATAAGAGCAGCAAGCATGGAACGGAGAAGAGCTGCTGCGGTGAACAACGTGCGTCGATCCAAGAGTTTGCTCTTCGACTACATGCATATCGGTGCCCTCATCGAAGAACCGAAGACTCAGCTATCTCGCAGAAGATCCATAAGTTCGTTAGTTCGAGAGAACAAGGATTACATCAATGACTTCGACGACTTCACAGCGAGCCCTCTAGACGTGAGTGCAGGACTGGACGTTACGGTCACCCGTGGGAGAAGGCATCCGGTGTCTTCGTATGGCTTCCTGACTGTCTGCGTGATGGAGCGTAGCTGGACAATGTCAGAATCTATGACATTCCGTCATTATGGCTCCCAGAGATGATTTCTATGGCATTGGAATAAGACCATCGCGGGAGAGGTCGACGACGGGTCGCCAGACCGATCCCGTGGAGATGGGTAATCGGCCTCCACCCCTAGCTCGAGCATCCTCTAACCCAGAGGCTGTGGCAAGAACATGTGATTTGGCGGCAGGCATGTGACGTGGCGACGTTTAATTGTGAAAGCTGTCTATTCAAAACTAGGATTAGGTATTAAGCTGGTCGTTCTTATGATTGACCCCTACTACGTAATCATTCGACCTCAGATTTCACCACACTCGGTCGATCGGGCGTATATTTTTTTCGCGCTCGACCTCGGACAGTATCGATGGTTTCGATATCTGTACCCAGGCAATCTCAATCTGTCCGGACGATCTGAGCTTCCCATGGTCCGAGTAGAGCTGGTCTTGAATCATCTCTCGATTGCTCTCTAGCTGTAAACACGCATTTTTATAATCCCAATGGAAGCGCGAGGGGTACCTACCGTCTGAAAGCGGGGTGTGGGCTTCTCTACGCATGAGTAAAAGCAGAGAAAACTCATGAGGGAAAGAGTCAAAATACTGATCTGAGAATCCTCGTCAGGAGCCAAGCAAGAAGAGATTCCACAAGAGAGTCATTCCCTCGGCAGAGCATTCCCTAATGCGACTGAACATCATTCCCGAACGATGTTCAAGAGCCGCGGAGCGAACAACTCATTCGAGACTGCGCTCGCGTTACGGGATTCACTGTGATCGGGGCCGAGACTTCTCTTCGAGATTGGAACGCGCTATGGCTTTCCTCGTCTGGACTCTGCACCGGTTACGATCTTACTGTGGACTTCAACTGTTTTTTTTCGTTTGAGAGGGGACTCCTCAATACTCCGATCGTCACGAACCACCACAAAAGTTACTCTTTTCGCGTATTCCGCCGTTTTCTCCTGACTGAAGGCCGCCGTCGTGACCGCGCTGCGCATCACAAATTATTATATGTGCAATTACGTTAGCGTAATCATTTTCGATTGTCCGCGTGGTTCGGTGATTCTTTGGTGCATCGTCCTGAACTCGTCCCATGTCTACCGTATCTTGGTAGTCGGCGAGAAGATCGGATGAGCACTCGTATCGCTTCCGGATTCTGGCATTAGGATATTTGCTGACGTCGCCGGAGTGGATATTCGGCTCAGTCAGTATCTCCGATTTTGAGTGTATGCCCGGACTTGAGAACGCGAGTTTCAATTTGGGCCGCTGATTGGCTCCCTTGCTTGGTTGGCTCTTGCCTTCGTGCTTGACTGGCTCGCTGACTGTCTGACTGAGTATTCGATTGGGACCTTTTTTCGCAGCCGATATCTCAACACATCTCCAATGGCTCCGAAGTAAAAAAAATATCTTCGCTCGCTTATCTGTCTCTGGGTAACGGCCGCCGCTGCCGCGATCGAGTCACTGGGTCACTCCGCGTCGCGTTCCACCTCGGGCGGTGCCTTCTATGTCGAATACCTGAGATCTGTTGTGCCATCGGTTCTTGAACGGCTCTCGCCGACTGCCGTAACCAGCAGTCGAGAAAACCTCATCGACGCGGATGGCACTGACATCCAGACAACCAGTCAGTCCGAAATCCAGTCAAGAAAGCCTGCAATGCTGGGCGAGAGTCTTATGAGCGCGGATTCGTTGGGTATGGGAATCGTTCAATGGATTTGTTGGGAACCAGTCTGGACAGATTGACGGAAAACAGTCTCGATATTCTCGGCCTAAAAGCCAGTCCCAATCCGAACGTGAGGATCGTCTGATGCGTGTACGATGTCTCTGGAGCGTCGCTTTCCGATAATCTCCCTGTTCGGAAAACTTGAATCCAATCCGGATGATTTCGGATGGATATCGTTCGAACGTCTTGCTCGTTTCGAACACCAAAAATTTCGTGATTAGCGACGGAGCGCTTCAGCTGTCCGATGGCTGCTGCTGCTGCTTCACTGCGTTGAACTGTGCCGTCAGAGGTGAATACATCGAAAACATGTCGTATCCAATGCGTGTTAGTATTCTGGGTCGGTTGATGACCTTTTGCTTGTTTTAGGCAACAGCGAACGGCGGCGAGCAAATTTCATCGAACTTTTCTACTTGCATTTCGTTGCTTTAAAGAGAACGCTCGTAGCAGACGGATGTTCTCGTCCTCTTCTCAGAGCTCTGCACTTGTACGCCGCCAATTGGTCGGTCGGTGGTAGAATCCAGCAGATGAAAAAAGCGCTCCTCATGCTCATTGTCGGAGCGATCACTCATTGCAGGTCTCGAAGGATAGCTCCGATCGATCATAATCGCTACGATCAATAAAATGTGATATTAAAATCGGAGTCCGAGTGCACTTTCTGGTTCCGACAGCGAGAAACGTGAGAGATAGTTCCGTGAGACCTCGTCTGACGGTTCTTGATTTGTTTTGCAGAACTTGGACAAATGGAAATCGGCTCGCCGCCAGCGAGTGCCTGAGAGACTCTTGAGTCGTGCCGAAGAAGCGAAGAAGCTGCTCGAGGAGGAAGAGCAGAGACAGATACGAAAAGTGAAGACGTTTTCAGAAATGATGCAGCAGCGTCAGCATCGACAACAGAGTCGGTACAGTCTGAACTTTTTCCAAGATATGGACGACAAGTGAGTCGGATCGGGATTCATGATCGAACTTCGATAACAGCTCTGGGTCGCTCAATCCAGAAGTCTGCACCGAATAAACTCTGCACAACGTGGCAATATGTGACGGACTTTGACCGAAATCTATTACAGTTTCGACGACGAGAACAAGGAGAACGACATGCAACGAACTGCGCGCTTGACGACGGCAGACTCGGTCGACAGTCAGTCCGAAGGAAAATCTTCGGACGGAGCTTCTTCGGAAGAGCGCTTGACGGAAAGCGAATCGCACGGTTCCGAGGAGCGCTTGGCCTCGCCCGTCGAAGTGTGGACAGCCGACTCGGGCGTAGACTCGTTCAGCGGGAGTCACCATACCGAATTGGCCATAACCACCAGCACTGATCTTCTGAAAGAGTTCAGTTCGCCATCAGAATGTCAGCCAATCCCTCGGGACGAGTCTTCGAATCCGAACGAAGTTATTATCCGTCTCTCGATAAACCCGTCGTCGGATATATTCGGATTCACGCTCACTCAAGACGGCCAGAAGGTCGTCGTGGAGTCCGTTGACGAAGGTGTGAATCTCGATATTTGAAAAATCGTTAGTCGCTGTAATTTTTTGAAGTGCGCACCTCTGGTTGTGCCCTCTTCTCTCGTCGAATTTCGAATTCATCTCACGGAACCTCTTGTAGAGAGATAAAAAGAAACGTAGGCGAAGAAATTTCTCTCTAGAGTCCTAATCGAACTTCTCCTCTGACGCTTGAGCTCCGGAATCCCTCCGATCGCTTTTAACGTCCGCGATTCCGTTACAGATGGTGTGGCCGACCTTGCGGGTCTAAAGAAAAACGACGAGATCATCTCGTTGAATGGCGTTCTAGCCGATTCGCCGGGAAGCGTACCGTCATCCATGGATCTCGCCCTGATGACAGGACAGCTGGAGATGGTGATCTACCGATCCGACGGCTCGGGCGGCAATGACGCAGACGAGGCGGAACGCATAAGTGACTTTCAGCGAAAAATCGCTCGGTTCTCGGGCGACGCTGCCGGCGGCACGGCGGGCGACAAGACGGCTGCGAACGAAGTGATTATTGAACCAAAGCTCGTCGAACGGAGGAAATCTCAACTTTTCATCCAGGCGCTCCAAATGGAGCAGCAGGAGAACGAGGAGAGGGAGAAGCCTCAGGACCTCGTGCCAGTCGAAGATCAACTCGTTCTGAAGCGCAAGAATTCGCTGTCGAAGTCGATGAACGAGGCGCGATACGACGCGGTGGACAGGCGAACGCCCCTGGATGAAATCGAACCGCAGATTATCGAGCGGAAGAAAGCCGAATTCATCCGACAGGCCAGCAGTGACAACATTTCGTTGATGAGAACCGAGATCGCGGTTGAGCCGCACATCGTCGTCCAGCGGAAGGCGTCGATCGAGAACTGCGCACAACGTTACGAGGACAGTCGTGTCCTCGACCTGCAGCCTTCCGTGCCGGTGGCCCAACTGAAAGCCTCGATAGAGAGTGGTAACACTTCCGAACCAAACAAGCCAAAGACCCCCTCCGTCGACATCGAGCTGACCATCGAAGAGCGGAAAGCGAGCTTCTTCGAACACTCCGGCAAAGACATCGAAAAAACCATGGTCGATGTCCCGATCGAACCGAAACTGATCGAGCAGAGGAAGGCCAGTTTCATCGAGAACAGGCTCGACGCGGCCTCACAGAGGTCGACCAAAGGTCATCTCGACCTGGACATTCAGCCGAAACTGCTCGAGCAGCGGAAGGCGGATTTCCTCGAGAACGCGTCTAAAACCTTGGTCCATAAAACTCCGCAAGACGAAGCGATCTGTGTTGAGAAGGAACAACGGCTTCCTCTGCAGAACAGCTCCGAAGCTCCATTGGCCCAGAGCGATCCGAGCCGCAAGGTGGAGCTCACCGTGAACAACATGCAGTCAAAGCCCAAGTGTGAGGTACCGATCGAACCGGACCTCATCAAGAAGCGCAAAGAAGCTCTCTTCTGTTCGTCCTCGATGACGAATGAAATCGAGAGGCGTCGCGTCAAATTAGCCAACATCGAAGCTGAAGTTTACGGAGAGATCCGACGAGAGGACGACTCCCCACCGCCACAAGCCGTACCGGCCGCTGTCGCGGACCTCGCAGGCTCTGATCGCAGAGCGTCTCGCAATACCCAGATAGTCGAGATCGCTTCTTCGGCAATGTCCCCGGCTGCTTGCTCTGAAACCAGCGAAGACTCGAGGAGCATGTCCAGCTCTACCACAACGGTGACTGAGATCCGTCGAGAAGTCGGCAATCCCATGATGTCCTCAGTCGGTTCCGGTTCTCTGTTCTCTCCGGTCTCGGATAGGAACGAGTCACCGGCTCACCTCTCCGATGTTTCGCCCGAGACAGAGATCTGCAGCCCTCTGGGCAACAAGGGCCTGCACTTCGAAGCGACGGACAAACTTTTCGACTTCGGGACCCCGAAGCAGTGCATCGCCACAGGAGCAGTCCCCGAGCGGAGAGAACTGTCGGACATTGTTTTAGATTCTCCCCCCAGCGAGAGAGATCAAATCGAGAAGACCGCTCTTGTAGCCGAGCGGAATCGTTGCGTCAAAAACGCTGGTCATACTCCGTGGATCAGAGAAAATTCAAGAAGAGACGACATGCCTGCCCGACAGCATGTCTCGCATAGCGCGACCGCGGCCTCGAAGAGCTCGGAGCAGAGACCAGCGCAGCTGAATTTCTCGAAACGCGGAGATGATTTCCTTAGAAGTGAGGTAAGAGAACATTCCCTTTCGCTTCCAGAGAGCCTCGAGCTCCGGGCTCGCTGGGAGACCCTGACCGGGGTGAATTGAGTTTATGTATGAATTTTCGACACCGGTTCTCAAGAGCTCGAGTTATTATATTGAAATTTCTACATATCTTCCTCTCGAAGGTGGTCAACCTGAACCCAGCTCCGCAAGCACAACAACTTGGGCCCGCACCGACGAAAATTTCTATTGATATGGACCATCATGCTTACGAGAATCACGAGTTAGGAGCGGGAGAACGACAGACCCACGCTTCGCAGATGTACGAACTCTACGATCAGTTACCGGGCCAGCTCCCGAGAGGTCACAAGAAAGAAGTCGCTCCGCCACCACCGAACGGAGTCGCTCCATACGGTGAGGAATTGTACGAAAACGCCCCGCCATTCAAAACCCAACAGTACTATCACGGCGCTTTCCAACCGACTTGGAAAGAAGCGATAAATCCTCGATCGGCTGCTTCCTCTCACATCCAAGTGGCCACTAACGTCCAGACCAGTCATCACATGCAGCCATTGAATCAAATCAGAGATGATGGCGTGTACGGGGAAGTTCGGAAACCAGCGCTGGATTCGATCAGCCTGATTGAGGTGAAAAAACGAGATCATCAGATCAGGAAGCACGAGAGGAAGAGTTATCATGAGGGAATCGTCAATTATCCCGCATATGACTATCTGGGCCAACGCAATTTATACAATTGTCCTGAGGACATCTACGAAAACACCCGGAAGTACGCCAAATCCTGTGAAGATATCTCTGACGCCTCGGCGCAATTCCCCGGGAGACCGGCATCGCAATTCCCACCCGGTGGAGATGCGTGCTCTGACAGGGGCGGGTACGGGCAGGAGATCTACGAAAACGTCGAAGCCTACGCAAAGGTCAGGGACTACCGGAATAATCTCCACAAGCCGTCCGTCGCTGAAGACTTCTACGAGGTCCCGCGGCCCACTGACCAAAGTAAAGTGAAAATCCCCATGGGTCAGTCATCCGCTCATGATCAGATGCAAAGGTGAGGAACACTGCTCCGTCGTCGCATACGTAGCGATGCCTTGCTTTCCGGCTCGATTTTCCCTCTGTCTCCTCGGCAACAATCGATCACATTTCAAGCACTTTCTCTTGCCGCTTACAGATCACGTAGCCAACCGTATATGGGTGCCCCAGCGACCGGGCTGGACCCGAAGTTGAGGCCGCAGAGGAGCAGCGCGGAAAACCTCGAAGAACCGCGACCGCTGACCGCGGAAATGGGGGCGAAGCGAAAGCCTGCTCAAGCGAATAAGTGAGTTCGAGGAATCGATAGGAAGAGGCAGCGAGCCGTTCCGATCGAAACGGGCACGGATTAGCGCTCACTCGAGCCTGCCGTTCACTTGGGCGAGAGATTCATGCTTTCCGGCGATGTCCTGGAGAGACAGCATACGCTCCGCGGATGACTCATGATCGCCGCGATAAGCATGCCTGCGTTACATATGCATGCGTCGTACGCACTGGACGAATCGCGTTGGCATCGAGATTCTGTATCGATCATTCTTCCAGGAGTTTCAACGCAAATCACTGGCTCGTACAAGAGGCTGAAATGCGGCGGCAGCTTGAAGCCAATATTTACGCTTCTGCTATTCCTCAAACTCAATCGAGCAGCGCTAATGCGAACTGTGTCCCCCCTTCGACTCTTCCGAACCCGCAGGCCAATATCACGAACGTGGCTCTGAACATGAGTGAAGCTTCACCTCAAGTGCCACCGATGAGAAAAAGTGCTCCGCCCAGTACCGCGGCTTTCCCTGGCAATCAGTCGGGTCAGCCTCTAGCGATCTCGGGAAAGTAAGTTCTAGATAGATCGATTCCAGAGATTCATAAGATCTCAGAAGTGAGAAGCTATGGTCTAATCACGTCAACGCTCTGGGAATGACGATTACGCTCTGACGATTTCCTCTCGACGCTCGCGCAGGAAACGATGTTCTCTCTGCTCCTCCGAACTCGGTCGGGGGGCGGCCATGGTAATCGAAAGTCTCCAGTTGCACTTCCACCTGGATTGCTTCCGTTGCTGCGTGTGCAAACAACGACTCGGCAACGGAACTTGCGGGACCGACGTCCGCGTGCGGAACTCCAAGTTGCACTGTCAGAATTGTTACTCTAACGACGAGGGTATGTACCAACGTAATTCGGGGGGAAGCGTGTAGGATTAGCGCATACATTCGAATCTCGAGGTAAGACGGAGTGTTCGGCGCGCAGCCAGATCCTTCGTCTAGTCCCCCATGTCGTCATAGATCCATTCTTGATTTTTAAGTTCTGATTCGAATCATTCCAGCGGGCGTGAAGCTCAGCCGCGTATAATCGGACCGATCATCGCCTTGTGTACAGACCGTGTTGCTCATGACGCGTCCTCTCAGTGGACGCTGTGGATGTATTATACGTTTGCAATGCTTAAACTTTGAATAAATTCTAGATCCCACATCACCGTGTGGTTCTTTATGTGTCGGAAATTTTTCGAATACATCCATCAGAATACTTCCCGCATCAGTGATTCCCCGGCTGGCAGTCTCTGCAGCTCGTGACGACTGCAGTCAAGAGAACTTCGGGAAGTCGTCCGTCAGAATAGATTTATTGAAATCGGTCCTCAATTGGACGTCGCAAGACAATAGGTAGAGAGAAACATTGCATAGCTACGATTCAACCCTTTCGGAACGTAATCTCTGCACCACACAAGGTAACAACCATAATATCTATGGCCTTAACGAACAGCCCCGTCGCGGAGCTCCCACGCTCGCTGAATAAATATCAACATTTGCCGTGATTGTATGAAATATAATCTTCATACGGCAAGGAGCCACGCAATGGCACGGGATTGTACAATTCGGGGGCTCCTCTTCCTAACGAGGAAAGCTGCACCATTGCAGCCGTCAGCGATTTTCAGGGCCTCCCCAAATATACATAACATAGTCTTTACATTGTGCTTTGAAGTGAGCTGCCGCCCTAGGCAATTATTCTTATCTCTACATTGCAACGCTCCCTCCGAGACCGTTGGGTGATCGTATATTGGACTGACTGAGTGAGTAAAAAATGTACGTAGACCGTCTTGAGATACATTCGGGTGTCGACCAAGCAAATCTGCGTTTTTCTCTTCGGGCTTATGAATGTGAGCTAGACTCGAAGCATATGATCGCAACTCTGAGCACTCCATTCAGAGCCTTCAGAGATGGCCACATATCACGGAAGGGCTCGTGATGAGCTAGCTGGGGTCAAAGCTCTCAATAAATGCTTCTCATTCTTCAGCGTAGTGGACGTAACCCAGAGGTACGCTCTGACTAGGGGTGCGACGGCTGACAGAGGCATGAGAACCGCTTCACTGTCTATCGTTGACACACCATCCTGGCTTCGCGAAAGCTTCTCCAAAAGTTCCCGGCTGGGATTCCAACCCCCTAAAACAGCAATATTGTTTTCTTCGAGGGTTCTCAAGAATGTGTCCTCTTCCAGTTCGAGTAGACGAGATACATCACTGGACAGGATGAAGGAGAGGCCGTTGCGCTGTACTATCATCACGGTTTCGCAGTTCGGTAGCACCTTGTTCTGTTTTGGCAAAAAAAACGTCAGATAATAGGAGGTTATAAGAGTTGCGACTCTCCCAGTGAGCGAGGGAGTATAGATTATTATTATCATTATTACTATTGCACATGTCTGTAGGGATTGAATCGAAGTTATTGGGACGTACGCTGATCGTCACTCGGCTCAAGTCTTCGCTATCGGTGTGTCCGTTTGCTCGCGGCTGAGCTTGAGCCTGGGAGCTCGTGGACTGATCTCCGTTCGTGACGCGGAGACTGGGTTTCTTGTAGGATATGAAGCCTTTGTTTTGGAGGTCCAAGGCTGTGCCCTCGAGATCGAGTCCGTATTTGCGCTCCTCTTCGGAAAAGCTGGTCGAACGGAACGGAACTCATCAATCAAGAATCGAATCTCTCCTATTGGGAAATCATTATCATATATCTGAACGTACCCGACAATTCGACCTTTCACAATCGCGGAGTCCAACTCGATCTTGATGCTCTGCAGAGCCACGAGTCCAAGATTGGCGCTACCGTCTGGTGCGCTGATGTAAGCGAAAGTCCCAGGATACGAGTAGACTTTCTCTTCGAGGAGTTCTTCTGGGATCCGGTAGAGATTCTCGGACGAGTAAAAAAGCCTCATGCCCAAGTCAACGAGGAAAACCTCTACCTTGTCCAAATCTTTCACTCTCACGATTGCGGCACGACAAAAAGGCGGGTCGGCCTTCTGGAAGGCAATGCACGCCATGCCGCACTCGATCTCCGGTGGAGACAAGCGCTCATACATTCGGTGGCGCATTCGGCTCATTAAATCCAAACGCCGCTGCAAGTCGTCGACAAGCGTGAAGTTTACGCACATCGTATCTGTATCGAAATTGTTGATGCTGAGGTCCACGCTGATGTTATCGCTGGACAACCTCTCCACTCTGTATGAATTTGAGTAAGGCTCAAATCCTACACCAGATAGATCGTTGAGCTTGGCATGGCTGGGCGGGGCTATTCGAGGCGGATCTCTCGCAGGGAGAGAGCTTGCAGCGTTATTGAATCGAATGCGGATCGCCTCGCCGCCCGGAACCTTCTCAATGACATGGCCTGTCGTTTTCCCTTCGACAAATGACGCGAAGGTATCCATGTTGAAGCGCTTCGCTCTCAACCAGGCGGTCACACCAGCTCCCCCCAACGCGCCGACCTTCTCCAGATAGTCCGCCATGCTAACCTCTGCGCCTGCGAAAAGCTCGTTGACTCGCTTGAAGATCGGAATGACTTCATTGACACTCGGCAGAGGATTCGCAGCGACCGGGAGGCTCATCGGAGCGGGGGGGATAATGGAGGATCGGGAGGAGATCTGATTCTTCGAGCTGGCAAAGCCCGATGGTGCCGTCGTGTTTCCTAGTTTAGACGAAGATAACGACCTTGTAATTGCGGGGTAAAGCTTTGTCTTGCCGCCTACCGTCTCGACCCGGAAGACATCTGTCAAACCGTTCACGAATTCCATCAGGGTTAAGCCCCTCAAATCTAGATTTTTGAGATTCTTCGCCGCGTTCGATCGATTAAAGTGCTCAAGAAACTCTTCGGGTGAACATCCCGGAGAGCATTGGCGAAGTTTCATCCCCAATTCATATCGAAAAGGAGGCAGATAAATTCTACGACAATGCCTCTCCAATTCTTCGCGGGATAGAATGGATCGGCTAGTCGACCAAGTCGAGGGCTCATTCAGACCTAGAGAGGAAGAGCTGTGACCATTTCTAGACAGCGATGAATAAGCCGGTCGATAGTTGTTTCTATTCATCGGAGTACTCGACACCTTGGGTTTGGACTTCTGACCTTGGATCTGCAAGAAGAGAAAAAACCGCCCCTGAGATGAGATGACAGCGCTCTCGCGGGCGAACCTTCACGCCTGAGTTTCCGGGGCAAAATATCACATTCGGAAGCCTAAGCGAACATCGCGCGGCCCTCCGCAAAGTAAACTTCGGGAAATTTGTTCGTCGCGATGGCGCTTCACACATTGAATTTTTCGAACAGCACCAGGGAGTAATGCGCGGGGAATTCTCGAACGCAGTAGGGGAGATGGCATTTGAAGTATCGAAAATGAGAATTACCAGCGCCAGAACGTGTTCCACATCTTCAGAATCACAATACAGCAAGCCCCCGTTATACTTCATTCCAACAGCCTCTGTCAGGAAGGATTCGAGGGTCGCGTATTGGAAGTCCCGGAAAGGGATTTCGGCTCCCTCGCATTTTCTGTACTCGGCTGCGAATTCCTGCGGGCGAAGCCTGCGTTTAGGGCACTTGCTGATACTTGTTCCATATCTCGATTCGAGATAAATCCACGGGGTATACCGGATCGTCGATAGCTAGAATCATTCGAAAACTTACCGCTAGAGTCATGCTCCTTCTCCCAGTGCTGGCGAAGGCGCTCTTGGCAATACACTTCACATAGTCTATGTTCATGGCTGCGAAGATAGAGGGGTGATATCGATCGTGAAGACAAGTGGGTGACTTCTCGGAAGTCTCCCTTGCGACACGGAGTTTTGCCGGCCTGAGGTTGACTCATCTAGCATACGAGCAGGTGGCTGATGATCGAGACCATGTCTGCGGTAGCTCATGGATCGAAGATCGACGCCGATTAAGGACGATCACGAATGACTCCATCGTAACTCACCGACCCCGCCGACAAGTGCTCTTCCTCGATCGCCGAATTGTAATCTCGCAGTTTTCCGCAGCACTCGTCTTGAAAGCTCGCCAGTGTTTACGATGATCCCCGTTCACCACCTCTCCCTCAGCACGATCGGAATCGACCGCTAGTGACATGTCCAGAATTTGAAAGCAGAGATTGGCTCCTTTTGGGTGACTGAGTGATTGGTATGAGGCTGCTTCCGAGTAAGCCGTTGATTCCTGGGCCCCGGAGGTGTTCAGATAGGGTACCATTCACGGGACTCAGAACCTTTTTCGATGTTTCGATCTTCACAACTCGATGTCGATTGCCATGCCGGCCGCGAGAGATCTTGCGCAAAAGCGCAATCTGACTGACAGATCGAAATTTCGATTCTGGGGAAAAGCGAGGAGAGAATATGAGGCAAATTGACTTGTTCGGTGACCGGGATCTCCTTCCTACCCACTCCTGCGAACTACATCTCCTGGGGGAGCTTTGGGAGAACATAAGATCGAGAAGGCGATCACTCAGTCGATCGCTGCCTGGGATGTACATACTTGTCGGCATAAACGGGTGATCCTGCCCGTGAATGACATTGATAGAGCTCATGGTGCCTTGCACTGCATTGCCAGGTCGCGATTCTTCATGTTCTTTCTCATTCACATGCGGAGCGGAAATGGCTGTGGTCAGAGTTTCGTTTCGCGGCTTGGGGCGTCGCATTAGGGTCTCCTACGCGGTTGGGGGCCCGCAAGTCATCCGGATCCACTCGGAGTTCCGCGAAACAATCCGTGAAGCGGGTATTTTTTTCGATAGATCCGAAAAGTCCTCTTGCTCGGGCCCGCTCAGGCCGATCCCGCATGGTGAGAGCAGAAAATAATGAGCATGTCATGTACAGATTCCCGACCCTTTCCAGTAGCGCTGGAGGCGGAAACCGATTCGGACTACTGAATGAATATGCCCATCATCACATGCCGTCGCAGAAATGTCCAGAATTTCCTCTGCTCGCACTGTCCCTTGGGGATCAATCCGAATTCACTGGTCGTGTAGCCGCTCAAGATTTTTCTGTATTTCTCCTCAAAGTGTCGCTGGAATGCCCGGCTGTAAATCTGGAAGAATATTGGAGATGCGGACGCGGGTCACGCCCAGGAGATCAGGAAATGGATGACGAGTTTCGGTTTTTCTGAAACCGAAGCCTCATTTATGCGAGGGAAGCTGACTGACACCGAGCCGTTTGCGAGTCGCGGAAAACTAGTTCTAGGGGGCGGTGCATGGATGCCTGAGTACTTCTCCTTTGAACCTCCCGTCACTGCACCGTTCGATCCTGAACCTCTTCCCTACGTCGACTTCTTGGAATATATTGCGCATTGTTATGCGGGCTCGGACCTTTCGACGCGGTACTGCCGAAGTAGCGATTGTCCTACGGAGTTCTCTGTATCAATAACAGGACTGCTCTGCAAAATACCAACCTAGAGGAAATGCCCCACATGTCGATGACGAAAGACTTTTTCTGATTTTACGCTCAGGTGCAAAGTAATGAGCTTTTCCTTCCCCAGGAGTCGCTTATCGATATGCTGTTCGTCGACACTGAGCGAGAGGCGCTCATCGGGAACCTCTCCAAGCCGCGCGAAGGAAAAGCGCAAGACCGCTCAGCAGGATCAGCTTATCTTGCCTGCAGAAACTGCCATTGCGATGCGATGTGGGAATCACGCGAAAAAATGCAACAAACAAATACTCGTTGAATCTACTGGATCCGTCTCGAAGCTGCTATTCAGCAGTCGCAAGGCAATCTAGGTGTCTAGATCGTGTTCCGAAACCGCTTCGAGTGCATGCAAATATTCCAGCTGATCTAGCACGGAGTTGATGGAGTCGAAGTATGTCATGAGACAGCTGTAATGAAAATTGCGATCGAAGAAAGTTCCCCCGAGTCAGTGATGACACGACACTCCTAGTCCGAAAAACTGCGCGGACATAATCGTCCCTCGTGATATATCATCGCGCTCAGAGAACCCTTCAACTGGAGGAACCATACTGGCTCTGCCGAAAGGAGGACCGTCGAAGGGAAGATAGCACCTCACAGATAGGGGATCCAACTTTCCAAACCTATGCCATAATCCCAGGATAGCATTTCGCGGTCGATGATGGGTAGGGCTTGGAAGTTGGCGCGATCGCGCCAAAAGCCGTGAATTTTCTCGGCATTTTCAGGCGATCCTCCATAGGAAGTCAATGGGGAGTGAAAATTGCCGTGAATTTTCGGGAAAAACGCCGTGAATTATTCCCAGCCTTAATGATGGGCACACACGTGCCCTCATATGATGTACTCCACCACTCAACACGGTGCCCTTTCCCAGCTCAAGAGGAACTCTCCCTCCCCATCATAAACCGTGTGCTAATAAGTCGTCCCTCCTCTTTCCCTACCGGACCGTCATGGAACCCATATAATTCCTGTTTTGCTCGTCCCCGTACATTCGCACGTGAGGCAACGAAAGATCCAACGAACTTCAGCAACAACATTGGAGACTCGTGTTGACGGAGCGACACGCAGAACGTCTTGAAGATGAAATCGAACGGGGGGAGAGTGAAGACGATGATGTCGATTATCTGTGCTGAGAATCGGAGAAACGTTCAGCTTTGCCGCTAGAGACATGTCGCGAAATGGTGGTCTCCCCGCTTTTGAACAAGTCCCTTATTCCGACGCGTGTCCCCGCGACATCCTAATATTTCCCTCGATTTGAGCTTGCAAAGATCGTGGATCTGACGCGAGTTGACGTTCACAGCTGGCTCCCTGACCACGGGGTCGGCTGCCATATCGATAGCGCACTGAGCAGGGAGAGAGGCTCGCTGTCTGTAAGCACAACACTCGAGGAAAGCACTTGCCGGAGTAACACGCTCTACTTGTGTTTGTACCCGTTTGCTCAACATTTGGACCCCTTTCGGGCTACTGGCGGCTTTCTAAGAACAATCTGACAATTCGTTGGTTTCACGCTCGAACTCGAGAGCACAGACACTCAAAATGTCAGCTGTAAAGGAACAAGCTTCCAAGTCTAAGCCGACGGCGGTGGAATCGGTCAGTGCTGTCGAACATTTGGAAGCTTTCAAGTCGAAGGTGATGAAGGACGCTGAGGAAACCCTCCTTCAGAAGTTCCCCCTTCGAATCTATCAGCTCACCGAATTGATGAAATCACCAGAGTTCAACATGAATTTCACGCAATGTCATGCTCCGATCAATATCCCGAGACCGGACCCGTCGGGAGCGGAAACTAACGGCGGTGATGCTGAAACTGATCAAACGCGGAAAAGAAGAAGAGTTGATGAAGATTCCACGCAGGGCTCCGACGTCGACGGATCGAAGGTTTTGTTGCTCCCGAACGGGCCAGTGAAACTTAACCAAACTCTCACCAAACTGTTCGAAATCACTAAACCCCTGATCGTTCAACAAATCAACGATTGTAATTTGTTAAAAATGTGGATCGAATTATCGATTCCGAAGGTCGAAGACGGTAACAACTTCGGCGTTGACATCCAGGAGGAATGTCTCAAGGAAGTGAGTTCCGCTGAGTCGGAGGCCGCCCTCTACCTCGACCAACCCGCCCGGTATTATATGTCCCGCGCGAAAATGATCGTCAAACTGGCGAAGTATCCCCACGTCGAGGACTACCGCAAGACAATCGAGGAGCTCGACGAGAAACAGTACATGAACGTCAAGCTCGTTGTCCGGGAACTTTTCAACAATTATGCGGCTATCCACGACATGTTAACGAAAAATCTGGAGAAAATTAAAAGACCGAGGACAACGAACGCCAACAGTCTCTACTGAGAAACTCTCGCATACAACTTCCTGTTTCTGTCTGTAATTTCTATTAGTTTCAACGAGTGTTAATTTGAGATTTTTTCCCATTTCGACCATTTCCAAATTGTCTTTCACCCAGCGAGGCTTTTAACCGATGAAGACAAAGTTCTACAGGAGTCTCGTTCCGAATCAGAACCACTCGATACCACTGTGGCTCTGGTGTCTGACGGGTCGTCAATATTCCTTGGGGTATTCTCACCCGGAGACACTGGGAGCGAAAGTGCTTGAAGGCAGTGATGTCTGGTGGACGAATACGAGTCAGGTTGTTGCTGGAGGCATCGAAATTATTCGTCACACAAAAAACCCACTGACGTAACTCATTCCGCGGGACGAGTGTTTGTGTGCGACCCTCTCTCGAATTTCTTGAGGTCCGCATCGGGATAGATGAAGATAGAAAGCAATGAATAAACTCGGGGCGGAGAAATGTTTTTCAGTGTATTATCATTTTTTGGTTTCGGAAGGCGGATACAGACGCTGGATGAATGCCCCCTTGACAACGATCTCTCTGAGTCGGGTGAATCGCCCCGGCAGGTGAATCGTTCCCGGCTCTCAGACAATTTTTTCTCGGGAAGAAACTTGTCGCCCGCTATCTTGGCCCTAATGCAAGAGACGTCCGATCGACTGACCGATCGACTGACCGATCGGCCCTCTTGTTCGACAGCTGAGCTTGCAAGGCCCGGTTTCCTGAGACGTTCGGTGAAATTCCCCGGTCGAGAGGCGGAAGGCTCATGTATCTGGAGAATAAGACAGCATGTAGAGCGCCAACGGAGAACCGCTTCATCGAATGATTGAATGATCGCGATGATGGGGAATCAAAGTCACAGAGAGACAAGTGCTCCCTTTTTTGAATCGCCGTTCGACAAGATTTGAACCGCTCTTCCACGAGAGCTCCGTACTAACGGAAATGACTTGCATTGGCGAATGAGCTCAAGTTAGGTATCTTGGTAGCACCAATACGGAAATCCTCAGGGTGCCGTATGGGGAAGCCAGCGACCTGCTCCGAGTGCTCGACGCGGCCCTCAGATCGCGGACGTGGAGTCGAGGGGCGACATGGTGCACAAAAGGGGACGATCGGCGTGATAGCTGACTGTGATTACTGATTACCATAACCCAGTTAAAATTCTCCGTTCCCTGTCTGATTCGAGCTCCCAAAGCTCTTGGATCGAGAATTCGACGGACCGCCTCCGAGCGCGATACCTCCAGTTTCGGAGAGCTTCGCTGACTGCACTCAAGCAGACCTCCGCTCCCGCTGATTCGCGGATCGGCTTATCGTCGCGCGGAATCACAAATTGGGATAAATTCATTGTCCTAGGAAGAGATTCCCGCCTGCATGCGAGCCCGCCCTCGGGCATGATATTCGGTAGGCCTGAAAGTTTAGTCAGTTTCCCTCAAAATGAGAATCCCCTCAAGAAAAGAAGCTTCGCGTTCATGGCTCGGTTCCTATGCATATTTCGACGTGCGATTTGACCTTCTCTCCGGCGGTCAGAGACGACGGGCCGGAAGCACTGGAACCGTCAACTGTCCTTGCTTCAATTTTCTTCCGGTACTTTCTTCGGGAATCATCATCTCCATGCATATTCACAACACGGTTCGGAAACCCCCACGAGTTTCGTATCAGCAGCCAATGATAAATAATCGATTTACAGGCCTCCGCTTATATTATGTTCGTACTCCTGCAGTTCGTCCTCGCAGCCCGTGAGCTCTCGGTCGCGCAGTCCCATGTCCGGACCTTCCTTCTGAGGACGAATCAGAGGGAATGCCCCCGGATAGGATTTCCGATTGACCAGAAGCGCCAGTCTGAGGGGCTCGATCTTGTGCGACTCATGAAATGCATGGCGAAGGAGTTTCACGATCGTCGGACGCAGCGTGTACGGCAGATAAGCCGACGGATCCCAAAGACGGGAATAAGGAATGGGACTCGAGATCTAGCGAAGTTACGTGGTGACCACATTCTCGCTCGCTTCCATGAATAATATCGACCAGTCATTGTCTCCGAGCTGGTTCGGCATTCGTTCCCCAGGGAGCGCCACCAGTTCCAAGGCCTCCACGATCAAGAAATCAATCGAACCAGTGTGCTACGGAACCATGCTCCGGTTTGAGTGATGAGAAGCGCATCGACTTACCACTCCCCGGCTGAGTTGTTCTTGATTTGTCTCGCGCAGCGGTCTGTTTTCGCTGGGATCTTTCCCGAAGCGATATGCTCCGATGACTCGGCTTCTCAACACCGTTATGTTTCGGTGAAACTTGGGAGGTCTATTGGATATGGAAAACCGACATTATCGGTGCTTCACACAAGCTCATACTCGATAAGATATCCTCTCGAATGTCCCCTATAGGGTTGTCTCACCCTAATCCTGGGGGCGGAAGAGAATCGATAATTACGAAGGCTGCTCAGCCAGAGGTCAGAACAGCGCTGCCCTATCGGGGATACCAGGGTCCCGGGGGTGGAGAGCCGGGCCTTGTCACGACCTAGTGACAGGCCTCAAAAGTATATTAGAGTATCGACTTTTAATCTGCGGATTTTCACGAAGGGTCTCAAGCCTGACCAGAAGGATCCGTCTCCGATCTCGTGGCTCTTACGAGGAATGTCGCTGACTGATGAGCCGATATTCGCAAAGACAAATCGCATGGCGAATTGAGCGGACCCGCTTTGCCCCGACCATATCTGTTCACCAATGCGATACAATTCTTCCACGGAGCCGAGAATGTCAAAGCGGGATATGTCAGCAGCGATTGGTAGGCGACACCCGAGCGGTCCGCTGAGGAATCGCCCCTGACAAAGAGGTATCTGACACATGTGAACACTGCTTAGTGACGACTTTCATAGTCTAATGGGAGCATACGCATGAGAAAACTTCGGAAAGCCAAGAGCAAGAGTGAGTCAATCATGCGTTCCCTGTATCGTCTGACGCTCAGGGCGTGTACCAACCACCGACGAGAATCGATTCTATTTACGTGAATTCTGAAGCAATTTTCGATGCCTTGCTTCAGTGACGAATCGACAATCAGATTCCAATGGCTCCGATCGGAACTTTGCATCGGCGGAGTTTTCGCCGATTTACCCTCTCTGCCGGGATCCCGCTCGTCCCCTGTTCGAAGTCAGAGATTCGCCCCTCAATGAGCGCCGCCTGGGTGAAAGGTCGAACGGAGCCGCGTCCCGCGGTCCTCCGGGGTGCCATCGGATTCGGGGAAGAAACTGGGTTTAAGTTCTTCCTGACGATTACAGAAGTGTCCAGCTACTTTCCCCTCACACAGGACATCGCCAATCGAGCCGTTCTCACGAGAATTTTTCCAGATTCGAATAAATAGGTATGTGTCTGGTCTGGATCCCGTCTTTCGAGCAACCTTCACGAGCACTCTTACATCGCGAGATTTGCGTGCGCGCTCCGAGCCGCACGTAAAGGCTGACTGAGAACGAATGAGGTGGTGAATAATTCTTGTCCCCAGCCTGCAATCTCCTTTCAAAAACGCACGCTCGCGAGTTTGATTCTGACCGATTTCCGAATCGACCTCAGGTCCCGCTGCGTGTCGTGAGCGGCTGAGACGAACTCTCGGGAAGCGTTTGCGTACGCAAGCGAGACACCCATGGTCGTGCAGGATTCATGGAGCTCGAGGACGATCCTCAGACCCACGGAGTATTTTTGGTCGCACATATCAAAGGTTTTGGGGGGGGGAAGTCTCACATCTTAGAAAATTCGTCAAATCGGTATCCATTGCTGGCTAAAGAATCGAAGGCTTCTCGTTTGGATGTCATGATGTATGGTCGAATCGAGCTCCCTTAAAGCTCGCCCAGAGCGAAACGAAGCTGGCGGAGCCAGTCGTCTCGTCGCGGTAAGGAATGTGAGCAGTCTTGACTTGGATGAATTCTAGCTCTCCGGGAGCATCTCGGTGGAAGAGATTCGTATTCCGGAGTTATCGGCGCGAGAACAGTAATTGCCCTCAATCCATCACGCAAGCGAGGTATTCGGAAATAAAGACGACGCTAAAAAGCGACTAGCGCGAGACTGTCGCCAAGTAGCTCAATTCACCTGCAAAGTCTTCCGGCGGATTACGATTTGATAGGTCGATGTGATTCTTCTGATCGATTCCATGATGCACCGGGATGAGCTCCGGTCGCTCGTATGGCGGGCGATCCGAGAAAAATGGGCCGAATCTCCTGATGCGTCAGGGATACCACACTTCGGAACAACCGTTCGTTCTTCAAACGCAAGTTGGCTCGGAGGGGATGCGGTCAGCTCCTCTGCGGAGCAATCGAAGGATTTCCGCGGAATCGAATCGCTGTCCGAGCCTGTGCCTGAGTATCTGTCTACCTGCTCGGCTCGACCCACCGCTGATATGATTTTGCACCTTGTTCACAAATAACGTTCGGAAGCGATCGGTTCGCAGTGATATGTATTGGCGAACAGTTGTTGTCCCCTGAGAGAAAAAAAACGCGCATGAGTTAGCGAATGAGGTTCCGCCCGCCCGAACTCGTCCTCCTCGATACTTCGTTGTGCATAGTCGGTGGTTGGCAATCTGAGCGATCATAGCGGCGGCGGCGGCGGCAGCAGCAGCAGCAGCGACAACGACGATGACAACGACACAAAATGCTGCGTGTGTTAACGACCAGCTTATGCACTCGCATATGCCGGCCATGGAAGCCGGGAAGCAGATGTCACGCAAAGCCTTCGCACTTCGCTACGATGCGCCATATGCTTCGACAATGAGCTTGCTCTCCGGCTTGCTGAATGGCTGGCTCGGTTACTTGCAACTACCACATCGGCAGCAGCGGAGGGTAGAAGATGCTTATGCGGGGCGTGAGGAACCCTCTGTTTACTTGTTTGTTGTTAATAACTGTTTTTAGAAAGAACGGACGAGCGAGCGAAGGATCGATCGATCGACCCGCCAGGCGACCTGGTCTGGGATAAGGACCACGATGCGGGGAGGAGTGGAAGCGTTCTATAAACATTAAACCTCTGCAGACTCACTCAGCGGTGGCGGCGGCAGCAGACCTCGTCGACTCATCCGGTGCGCTCCTTTGGGGAAATCGGCAATTATAATATTTTGAATCAGGAGAGTTATCGCGAGAATCGTTGCGTTCCCTCCGATCACGGAAGGTGCAGGGGAACTCCCAGCCTGAGAGAGTTTCGGGGCGGATCATTAATTTGAGAGCCGGAAACCCAGTCGAAGTTTGTGCGAACGAAGATGATTTGACTTGAGGTCTATTAGCGCCAATTCCACTGACTGAGTGAACGAGACGACTCTCGCATAGTCCGAGCCTCTTCCCCTTATGAATATATTCTCTCTTAGGGATGATCGGGCGAACTCGGCCGCTGAGATCTCGTCCGGGCAACATCATGATTTTTGCCAATGGCGGTAAACCCCTCGACAACTCATCCCGGTTCCGTTTCCACTAGTAGCCGCGGCGAGGAACAAGTAGCGACCGGGTAAGCCGAGGCATGCAAGTCAACGCAAGTGGTGAGCGAGGATCGGAGGAAAACCGAAAGAAGGCGAACCATGGCCAGGGTGATGGAAGCCGCGGCATGAACGGCGGCGGCCGGAGCGGAACATACCCTTCTCCTCAATTTGTCGTTGAGAGCTCTCACCCGACAGAGCCCGCCTCGGAGGGAGGGCCAGGGAGGAGTTTTGGGCGGCGTCAAGCACTATCCACCAAAGAAACACGGGTACATGTGTAAGAACAGCAAAATTTTTGTAGTCATTCTTGTTAGATTAGAGTTATTCGTGTTCTGGTGGTGGACGGCACGCAAGCAAGCTGCCTGGCTGTCCGCTGTCTCTGTGCTCAGTACGCTCTCGGTCGCTGTCTGATTCGCTTCTGATCCGGCCGTCTTCGTCGTCGTATCGTTTAGCGCTACCTACAAACCAGTCAGCCAGCGGTAACCGAACGACAAACCAGCCGGCCGTGAGCTTACAGCTGGCTACCAGATCAACGAATACCAGCAACTCGGACCTGCTCATCATCGAGTTAGTGATCGGGGTTCTTCGATCCGCGAGCACTCAGAAAGTGAAGCATACGTTAGTGTCGACGACGTAAACTGAGTGCGTCAGTGTCCCATCTGGGAGAGTTTGTGAGATACTCAAGATCCGAACACCTTCTGGCATTCGAGAGCGTCTACGTCTGCGAGCAGACCCGACGATTTTATGTCACGTCCCCTTCCTACGACACCTTCCTCCTATCGTTCCCATCATCGGTCTTCGGTCAATTAATGGAGAGCTCGCATCATCGCTCAGATAACCTGTCGTTGTTGTGAGCGCCACCTCGTCTTCAGTGTTCGCTCAGTTCGCGTATGGTGTTTGTGTCTCCACTGTCCCTTGTGCTTGTTCAGTTCTGAATTTGGAAGGCAGCCGATCTTGGAAGCTACTCGCTGACAAGCACGGAGAAATCTGCTGTCGAACATTGAACGGATTGTTTTAGTGGGATTTTCCTGTGTCTTCTGTTTCAACAAGTTATCGGATGCCAAAATCGACTTTCACCTCGTCTAGTCTGAGGTCGCCCATATCTTCATACTCACCGACTCCCCTGTCATCTCCTCTTCGATTCGGGTAAGTGCCCCCTCGCTTGCTCCCCTCGTTGACGTAACTCTTGACGTACGAGTCGGAAGTCGGAATCGACGCTCAAAACTAAGTAGAAAAAAAACTAGGAAACGCGTCAGGCCCCGAAGACTCCCGACTCTCTCGTGGAATTCAGGAATCCTACCTTTGATTCCCAATATACTCGGCAAGAGTTCGAGTACCATGGAGAAAAAGCAACGGATCTCTCATTAGAGCATTGTTCCACGCAGGCTTCACCTGAGAACCACCGTGTTTATCTCTAGCGGTGATCTGTGATGCCGGGTTCGAATCCTGCGGTGAAAACCGAACCTACGGAAAGCTCGTCAGCCCCCGCTCTCAGCGCACCGGCCCCCGCGGCTACAAGCGGAATTCACTGTCTGCCACCTCATTTGCAGCATCTTCCCAACTGTACCCCAGTCGCTGCCGATCCTGTGACACAACGACAGATTTGCTCCTGTGTTTCACAATATCAGAGGTGAGCTGAGCCTAGGCTACTCAAGCCGAGCTGAGCGAGCGATGAATTGAGACTCGAGTTAACTCCCATTGATGGGAGCACTTGTGAGTCCCGACTCTGTTGATTCTCGAGATATCTACACACACCCAAGATCTCTCCGCACAGTAGACCGCATGAGCCCTGCAAGGCAGTCGTAGGAATCTCGGCAGAGTCCGTTCGGGGACGAATTAGCTTAGAGTCTGTTCGTGGAGTTTTCGAAAGGGGAAAACTGGTCGTGAAAAGCAGAGAAAGAGAGTACTCGGTCACGAGCACATACTAGGGATAGCGACGGGAGTATGAGAGAAATAGCTGATCGCGATTCGTTTGCAGATTGGCGAGCAGCACAATGTACGGCCCGCCCGCCTTAAGTCCTCCGATCGGAGTCCCGCCACCGGCTTCTGCGCCCAAGGCGTCGACAGATTCACAGGCCGCAACTGCAGCCGCTCTCCAGGCTGCGGCCGCAGCTGGATTCCTTCCTCTAGGTGCTGCAGATGGAGTTCCGTCGGCATTCTACCCACCTGGCGTGAGTATCTTCCCGCTATTCCTTAATATTCTTCTTAGATAGACGGGATCCAAGATCCGAGCCGATTTCTGCCTCGAATTCCGTGGGAACAAACGCGTTGGCGCGGTTTCTCTCGACTCCCTCGGCGATTCGAAGCAAAATCGAGAGCGGCGACATGAAACCTGGATACCGCGCTCACGCGAATTTCGGTCCAAAATTCCATCGTCGACGTCGCTGATTAGTCGGTCGATGCAGGAGATCTTCTCTTTCCCGTCTCTTCCCTCTCAATAACGAACGGTCTCGGCTCCCTTTCGATTTCGCGACCGTGGTCAAAAAAGTCGCAGAGGGGCTTCTGTGGAAGCGACGTCACAATCACAGCGAACTTTCTCAGAGGCACTGTTTCGCTTGATCGGTTTTGGTTTCACTGTGAGAGTGTGATGTCAAGAGGTGGTATAAGGGACACACCCAGAGACAGGGGGACGAAGCGACTTGGCGGGAGAACGAACTTCGTCCCCATGGAGGCGAAGTCTTGGACAAATATATTAAATCGGCTTGACAAACTCTCCCTTCTCGGTGAGCGCGCCGGGGACAGGGAGCGGGCTCGCTAGCAAGCCAGCCAGCTAGCTAGCTAATTAACAATGGGTCTTGCGACCGGCAAAGCAACTGTTGATCTCTCGAGCGTGCGCCATATCGCGTATCTCCAGATGATGCCTCTCCTCGTCGTGAGAACGAGCTGCCGGGCTGGTGGCCCGGCTGATCTAGAGGGTGCCACTCACAGTATTGTGAGTTTCTTTCTCGTTCGAGTGCAGTCCCCACTGGGGCGACAGACCCGGTCGGACTCGGGGCTTGACTTTCGCAGGTCGATCCGCTTATCGGATAGCGTCGCCGAACGTGCGTCTCAAGGATCGAGCCCTCGCTCCAGATTCCGCGATGTTCAGCTGACCACCGCCATTCAGGAATCATACTCAAGTCGAACGTCATTCAATTACAGGCCAATCCAGCCGGAGTTCCGACTCCTGGTGCAGGTCTTGAACTGAAGGAAAACCTCGAAGCTTGGAGGAATCTCTCTCCAGCTGCAGCTGCGTACGCCTCGATGTATTCAGCTGGATACCCATACGATGCTGCTACAGCACCTCTAGCCGGCTACCCATTCGCAGGGTGAGTTTCACGACAACATTGGGAGCTCATCACTGGGAGCAGACAAGGGCCCGGCTGACCTCAGCCACTTCCCGAAAGGGCCCCGATGGGGAACAGCTGCGGGGATCGCTTCCGATCGCTGATTGATCTTCTCTCCACAGCTATGGAATGGATCTGAACGGCGCCCGGCGGAAGAATGCCACCCGCGAGACGACGAGTACGCTGAAAGCGTGGCTAAATGAGCACCGCAAAAATCCTTATCCTACTAAAGGGGAGAAGATTATGCTTGCTATTATCACCAGGATGACTCTTACTCAGGTTGGTGATGCTCCTTCTAGTTCGTTATACGTACGTAGTCAACCTCTCCGACTGAAGCCCGGTCTTCGAGTTGAGGGTAGGTATTTTCTAGAATGGGTTTTGCTCACTCGAAGCGCGAAGTGTTCGAAATTGGCTGCACGGAGCGCCATCGCGATGTAAATCGCAGCGCGACGCAAACCGGGATTTCGACCCCGAAAAGTGACTCAGTCAGTGGATCGACTCCGAAATAGATGAGAACGAAATCGAAGAAAGTCGCTTTTCACTTGCGTGTACTTGCTCAAATGGCACTGTACTTGCGAGCGCTCTCTTTCGTCGGCGAAATTGAGAGTTATGGTGCTCGCCACCCAGCGTAGCTTCGGTCTATGAAGCGAGACCGCACAAGAGCCCTATCTAATGGCCGGGACTCAGTGGCCGGCGGCCAACTCGGGGAGCCGCTATACCTGAAGCGACCTGGCTTACCTCTGGGTAGACAGATAGCTTGTTTCTCGATCGGTCGGTCGGTCGACCGGCCGCTAGTCTATATGTATGTATGTATGTATGTCTTCCCGTTGTTGGTCGTCGTCGTTGTGTGCCGCCCTACTGTGAGCGAAGCAACTAGTCGAGTATGACGACTGAACGAGCCGCGATCGCTCATCGTGACCGTCGTAGACTTTTCCACCGCGGCCTTAAAACCAGCTGTTAGGTGTGAGATCCGGCAGAGCCGTAATTCATCAGGATCGCGCGTACCGCGACCAGCCGAGGATTTCTGGAATCCATTGTCACCGAGCGGTGGGAGATTGAATGTCTTGAATTTCTCTCACTCAGACCAATGTGTGTGCTCTAGAAGCGAATCTGCTCGATCGAGGACGGTTCCTCAAGCGAGCAACAGAAGCGGCCGTCGCTGAGTGAGTCGATGCTGTTGATGACCGATGATGAATGCGTCGAGCTTTCGCCGGCTCGTCCTTACGATGTCTAAGATTGTACATTGCTTTCGAATGCACGGCTCAGGTTTCTACAATTAGTTGTCTCTTTTGCTCGTTCAGTCGCCGTGGCCGCAGCAACGAAAAGTAATCAGTACTACAGAGACCAGTATACTGGTGGTGAACCGAGTCGTTTCGTTTCGGGCTGTTAGTCGTGCGAGTTTCACTTGTCGTTTGAACTGTGTGTTTTTCCAGCGAATTATTTTTTCCTCTTCGTCGTCGCTGAGACCATCATCATTATAGCGTTGTTGTCGTCGGCGTCCACGTATTCGAATCAGTCTATCGACAGCGAGACAAGACGCTCGATGATGGGCTCTGTTGTTGCTGGGCAATTCGAAACTCAACGAGGTGTCGCTGTAGATAGATTGCGGGTCCTTTAACTCATCAGATGTTGTTGACGCCGTGACCATCGCTGGCGACGACATCTACAGCGCGGCGGAATTTTATCTCCAAGAAAAAACGGAGAGGTAGTTAACCTCAAACTGTTTTCTCGCTGCAGGTATCGACTTGGTTTGCGAACGCGCGACGGAGGCTCAAGAAGGAGAACAAGATGACATGGTCGCCGAGGAACCGCTGTGACGAGGACGATGACGACGATCTCGACGAGGCCACACCGACCAACAACAATCAGACAGCGCCTCGAGAACAAAGTGATTCCAATAGATCGAACCAATCGTCTGGCGATCACCAACGCGCAGCGATGATGGCCGCTGAGGAACTGGCGGCGCAGAGAAATAAGCAGCTTGCCGAGTTGATGCGCGGCCAGGAAATGCTCAGTCATCCCGCACTTCTCGGTCATCCGCATCCTCACCTCGCCCAACTACACGGCTTGTTGCAGCTGAAGCGACCAGCTCCATCTCACGACGACGAAAACGGTGAGCTTGATTTCCATTTTTCCCTGCGCGAGGAACCCGGGGCGAAAACCCGGGTTTCGGTTCCGGTGCCCCAGCAGCCCGGCTGCTTCCTGGGCAGTCGGCCGTGGAGGAATCGGTAAGACGAGGCCTGTGGACGCTTTGGATTCTCATGAATTTCCCTTTCGTTTGTCCACAGATTTGGTAGACGTTGACGATGACCGTCCTGAACCTCCGTCCCCGAAAAGGGAGCGTCGATCGAGTGAAGGCTCGGCCGCGAGCGAAAACGACGCAACTGCAAACGGGGGAACGGAAGGTTCGAAATCGCCTCAATCGAGACCGACCATCCACCACACTAGCCCTGGCAGTCAGAAACCTCGTATCTGGAGTATCGTCGACACCGCTACCGAGACCAAGTCACCCGAACGATCTCCACAGTCTTCGCCTCCACCAGCACCTGTCCTAAACTCATTGTTTGCCGATCGATTATTCGGTGCTTCGCCTCAACAGAAGCAGTGGTACGCCGCCTTGGCGCACAACGCGGCTGCGGCGGCGGCGGCAGCCCAGCTGGCACAGCGAGCGCAGTCGCCCGCGGCCTCAACGACGTCCTCGACGTCTTAAAAGCATCCAGCGTGGCTGTGCGCGCTTAGGTCAACTTCTACAATGTATTCATTTGAAAGAGGATTCGCTGCAATACTCAACTAGATTGAGACGAACGGAAACGATCAGCGGCTCGAGTTCGATCCCGCCGTCGAGCACGTCACGGCGGTGGCGGCGACAACCGCTACTGCCGACCCGTTGACGGTACAGGCGAGAATTAATACCTTCCAATCTACCAAGAATCTCTCCGACGAATCTCCGGCAAGCGTTACGCGCGTAGCGATCGGTTGCAATCGTGCCGAATTAATGGATCTCCATAGACCCATCGATCGATCGACACATCTCTAGTTATTTAGAAACAAAGTGACAGGAAGCCGGAACACGGTCGAAATCGCGGAACAGCGAGCGCGAGAGGTCCGATTAGGGAAGAAAACGGACAAATGGTTCTGAACCCACATATCCGCCGGACATTCTTCGTATGCACTCCGCTCCTGATGTTCGAGTCATCCAGGTTTTACATGGCAAGTACCGATCGTTCTTGTCAGCAGCAACAAACAGCCTCCGCAAGCAGATGTCAATTAAGGATCGACGAGATTTAGTTCTCGATCGATGTTTTTCCTCTCCTATCGAAGACGAAAGAGCGATCTGAAAGTGTATTCGTCTCCGCGCATGGTTCTGTTTTCGAATGTTCTGGGATTGAGATTACGGATGACGCTCTCAGACTCTGCCCGGCCGTCAAGGGTCGTTGGACATAAGATGCCTTCGACGCATTTTTCGGTTCCGGTGTCTGGGGGAGGGGATGGATGTATGTATTTATCAATTCGACGAGGAGCGGTATAGTCTTTTCTCATTTGTGAAGTGTAGCGTGCCACTACGAAAAGCATTCAACAAAGAAGTATTCATACGCTGTTGTTCTCGAATACCGTCGCGCGAGTGTACCGTTTTCGTTTCGATCATCATCATCTAAATCGATGGAGGGGCGTCCTCAGCGAGATTCTCAATGATGTCTTGACATCTACCGCTAAGATCGAGGAAAGCGAGCGAGCAAAAAAGAAAAGAAACACTAGCGAACACGACGAGGGAGACGGTTCCGCATTCATTCGGAATCGATGAGCTCTTCGAGTCGAACTACCTATTCCCCAAAACTCGTTTGGAATTTCGGTGGTTCGCAAAAGCGGACACGATTCAAAGCACACGATGACAAGAAGATGAGATTTGAGTGAAGAGGATGATGCGCATTATCGAGTGCGAGAATACGATGGCGATAAAGATTTTGGAAACAATGAAAGATCCTTAACGTTATGAGCATTATTTCATTTTGTATATAATAAATGTGAATATTGAAATTAAATATTACACAATCACTCTCTTGATTTCGATCTCCCGGTAACAAATCGGGAGAAAGTGAATACTTTTGATCAGGTGTATTTCAGAGTAGGTATTAATCATAGGCATCCGTATCGGAGGAATCCCACTGCCTACGGTGTTCCGCGCACCCCGATCCAGAACCATCGGAGTGGAGGCCTCATAGAGCACTTCTCTGCAAGTATGTCGCTGTAGAAAGTCCCAAATGATAATTGATCGATCGAGCGGGCTCGTGACACGAATCGCAGGTGGGAGGATCCGCCTCGGTGATGGTCACTTCGAGTCGGACTTCGTTCCAAGCCCGTTCGAAGGTGTTCATTTCATTCTTGCTCGAAAATGCACTCGTCCGTCCACCTGAGCATCTCGTCATTCCAACCCTGTGCTGTTCCGTGCACTGAGCAATTGTTCACTGTCGTGCAGTCCGTGGTGAGCTAGCGAGTGGACGAGCGACTCGGACGCAGCGAGAGCCACACAAGAAAGACCGTCGAAGAGAAGATGGTGAAATCACAACGATTGTTTGCTCCGTGTGTCGTGCGAAATGCACAAGCCGAGCTCACAAAGGACACCGAGAGTCTCAGATACCAGAGTCCTCAGTGAGACGACTCCTCCGCTCTTGATAGATGTGGAAATTCATTTGCCACGAGAACTCTTCCCCGGCAGAGCATCAAGGGCAGCGGCGACGGCAAGAGATGTCCAAACTTATCGCGCTCGATTCCTGTTATGATCGTTGACAGTCATTCGAGCGTTCCCGCTCGACGGAGGATCGCAACGCTTAGCCTGATGATCCAGCAGAAAGGGGATATCAAAAGCGCTCGACTCGGCATGCTCCGACCAGATTCCCGTCTCCGGTCATCGTGTTTGATCGCGGTCGGGCTTGCGAGTTTCTGTAAGGTTCGTGTGTTTGTCTGAAAGCAGCTAAACGTTACGAATTTCGGGGAACGCCGGCCGCTCTCACGGCGGTGCGGCGTCTGTACATTATGAAGAATTCCACCACTTATGATCTTATGCGGTGCGGCCGAGCGCTTCTTGATAAAAACATTTGATGTTACATCTTCGTTATCGGTCTCGTCTTTTTCGGACGTCCGAGCGTTTTCTCGTCGCTTTGCTGGATGCCTGTCTCGGCTGACGTCCGAACGACCGAGTGAGCTGCCGGTGGGTCGGCCGACTGCTGGGCTTCCCTGCATAGTGGCTTGTCTGGCAGACGGACCGACGAGGTGGATAAATGAGATGCCTCCGTAAATGCGGTACAAAACTTTTGCATCGACCCCTGGATTCCGAGAGCCACGGCCATGGCAGCAGCGTGCTCCCGGAGCAAAGAACTACGTTGGAGCTCGTCCGTTTTTCTCGATTGATCCGGGCTCGAAAATATTTCGTAAAAATTTGGATAATGGGTTAATTGCAGAAAATCGATGCCGACAGCATTGTCGATGCCACATCGGTCACTGCTGGAAAAAAATAAGGGAATGTGATGAGGACGTCGTTGAGGAGCAGGGGAGACGCGATGAAGTTCCGAAAGCCGCTCCGTGTAGGAAAACGACAATACGGGCGACGACTTCCGTTGCATTCGGCGTTGGATAAGAAGCCCCCTCTCCGTCTTTGATCCCTCAGAGAGTGTGAGTCCGACAGCAGTAAAACGAGCGGGCTAGGATACCCTACCAGCTACTCGAGCTGAATGGTGCTCTGGCAATTGAGCGAATAATGGTGCCGATTAGACTGTTGTTCGACGAAACAAATTCACGCCATGAGGTCCTCACAGTCGACTTGCAGTCGAGAACAACCGATTGTAGTTCTGTTTGTTTGGGTTTCCTTTTGTCTAGACCACGACGTTGTCGACACCGCCGCCGCAGCCGTCGTTTGCTAGCTGACTTGCTTGCTTGCTTGCTTAGTGTCGTATTCTGGATTCGGCGATTTCCATCAGAATGGAGGAGCCCATTAAACGCGAGAAGGAACCTGCACGCAGCCAGGCAGGCGAGCTGTTAGGAAGGCGAGCGATCAGTGAGCTAGGCGTTCGAACGATTCAAAGCGACAACGCTCACAAACAGTCAAATCGACACATGCACACAAACACTGCACAGTACGGTTTGTTTTTCCACAATTCACCTCAAGCCATCAAGTATCCATCAGGAACAATACATCGCCGCCGTGGCTGCACGACACCGTTGTTGTCCCCGCGCGCCGTTCCCGTCAAGTCGTCCGCATCGTTTCGATTTTAAGTCGCTGTCTCTTGTACACGTGATCTTTTAAGACCGCATGGATCCCGGTTCTAGAATTCCGGAAAAATCATCTTCGAATACTCAACCCTCGCCGTGCTCGGAAGCTGCATGTGCCACGACCGAATTCCGTGGTTACGATTTTTGTGAGGGACCCTGGAAAATCCGCGGCCGGAATTGGCCGCGGCAGAAGTCGGGAGCGTTCCCTGTAGAAGGAGATGTACGGTGTCGGAGGAGCGTCGATTCACGCTGGTTCTGCGGGGGCTGTATAGCGATCGACACTTCCAATAGCTGAGAGATGACGAGAGCTTTAGGGAGGATGAGACGGTATCACCCAAGCTATTGCCACGCGAAGTCCCCTGCCGAAATTCGATAGGGTGTTTCGCGCAGGAGCTAGAGGGAATGGAAGAGGAGCAAGGATGATATTCTAAAAAGGTTTCTATCGAACGACTACGACCGGTGCCGGAGGAAGTTCTCGACCGAGAGTCGCAGCCTCGGGACTCTCCGAGGGCGAAGCAGAAATCCAGCAGCGGCAATTCGGACATGACCCGAGCTCGGGATTTCTGACGGAGAAGAAGAGGCATTTCTAACGGCTTCCTCCTGTGATCTATGATTTCAGGGGACAGCTCGCTGGCTTCTGAATCGGAAAAATCCACTCGCGTCTCTTCTGGTCTTCCTGTACAACAATGAGTCGTCGTAACCGTTGCCGGCCAGTGTGTATTGAGTGTCCCCGGTCGAGCGAGTTCCATGTCTAGGAGGCACTTGATGACTTTTCATCCGTCCGTTCCACCGCTGGAATCCTATCGTGATACAACGAGGTGATATCGCACAAAGACGGAGCCGCGGCGAGAAGAATGCCACCGTGAAAATAGCTCGACTTCATTGGTTGTTTACCTGTGTCTGTCAACGTTGCTCCTGACAGAAGCCACGAATTATGAGCTTTGACAACATTTTTCATCCGAGTCACAGGACACAATGGTGTGCCGAGAACTGTTGGCTGTTGGAGATCGCGTCGAAGGAGAATTAGCGTCATTATACTCCCTGAACAGAGAATTCTCAGGATGACTTCTAGCAACCGGCTGACCCGCATTGATCTCGATGGCATGAATCTCTTCTGTCCAGAAGGAAGCTCGGGAAATATTTCCTCCCGTCAGAACCAATTATTCCTCGCCGCATCCCAGACTTCCCCATTCCTTCCATCGCATATTACCAAGGTCCGTCAGAACTTTCATTCTGAATTGCGATCGGGAGCGTCGACGACTGATCTCATTTTTCTGGAAACTGGAGGCTACATACCTAGGTGGCAACGATGCGCCCGCCGACGTTAATGTATCGCCGTTCCTTTCAAAGCGTGACAATAGATCACCGTCGGCGAGCCACCGAGTCAGCAGACCAACAAGGGGTCTAGGTCATCGTTCGCTCGTTGATACCGGAGCTTTCGCCTCC